TAGGCCTTCAACCCCAAACCCTCAATTCGTAGAAGCTCAAACCTGATGAGCTCTGCCAGGGCCCGAGGATGAGGGTGCGGCTCCAGGCCGTAGCTTCGTTCTTCGTACTTCAGGTTTTTATACAGGGGTATATAGGGGTTATATAGGGATAATGGAAAAGAAAATGGAAACTACTAGGTTTAGGGTTTAGGGTTTAGGGTTTAGGGTATATAGGGGCTATATAGGGATAATGGAAAAGAAAATGGAAACTACTCTAATGGGTTATATAGGGTTTAGGGTTTCAGGGTTTAAGGGTTTCCTAAAATTATGGGTACCCTTTTAAGGGGGTCCCCATAATAAGGATTATAGCATTTTGGGGTCTTCATTGGGGTTCCCCTATTTAGGGAAACTATCAGATTTGTTTTTCGTACTTCAGGTTTAGGGTGTAGGGTTTAAGGGTTTTGGGCTAAGGGTTTAGAGCTTTGGGTTTAAGGGTTTTGGGCAAAGGGTTTAGGGCTTAGAGTTTGAGGGTTTTGGGCTAAGGGTTTAGGGCTTAGAGTTTAAGGGTTTTGGGACTTTGGGTTTAGGATTAGGGGTTTAGGGTTTTGGGGGTTTAGGGCTGAGGGCTAAGGGTTTAAGGTTGAGGGTTCAAGGTCTGGGTCTTAAGGATTAGGGTGAAGGGGTTTGCATCGCAGATGTGTGTTTCCTGGATTTTGCATTGTGCTAGAGCAGTATACAGGGGTCTATATATATATGTGTGGCTATGCAGGTGTGTACAGGAAGTATGAGGTTGAAGGTTTAAGTAATCTTGGTCGCTGAGTTCTAGGTAGGGAAAAAACCCAAGGTTGCCCTGACATATCCTACAGTTGCTTACTATAGGCGTGTTAAACCTGCCCAGTTCCTGATGGTTTCGATCAACGTCTTGTGGTTGATGCCAATCTGTGAAGCATGATTGAAATTCATATGTAATGAGAATATGGGCTCTTTATGTTTACCAATAGAATAGAGGTAATCCCTTTCCCCGCGTGTTAGCTACGCTCATGTATACACAGATTAAAGATATTCATTAGGAGGGCCCCCCCCACCCTGTAATAGTGGTGTAACAGGAATACATTAGGACCCTGATAGAATCCTTAGTATCCCTTATAGTCACTATTACAGGGTAAGGGGTCCACCTAACTCTACACTCTAAACCCTAAACCCTGAATAGTAGTTTCCATTTTCTTTTCCATTATCCCTACATAATCCCCAGTATTTCCCCAGATTAAAGATATTTACCATAAGGGAGACGGTTTTTCAGTTTTAGGTCCACGAGGCTTCAGCAAGTACTCCCTGCCTTCTGCACCCTGAACCCGACCCTAAACCCTAAACATCCCTAAACTTTGAATATTGTCCCCACTCAGTAACAGTTGGATAATAATTATGCTATGGTTAGATATAGCCCTTAATAGGACCCCTAATATGGACTGTTACTGGGTGGGCGCAGTACCCAACCTAAACTCTAAATCCTAAACGTCCCTAAGCACTAACCCCCTCTCACTTTTCCAATTTTTGCCGAGCCGTTGGGATGACTGCAGGCGTGCTGAAGCTGGCAGCTGAGTGCATCCTCTTCTCGACATTCTACAGGGTTTAGGGTTCAGGGTTTTAGGGTTTCAGGGTTTTAGGGTTTAGGGATTTAGGGATTTAGGGTTTGGGTTTAGGGTGTAGGGTTTTAGGGTTTAGGGTTATAGTCCCCTTTAAGTAGATAGAATATGGCTTTGGGTATATAGTAATAAGATCCCCATATACCCCATATTCTAT